GTGGTTTTGTGGTAGGTGAGTCAGGCAGGCTCTGGGGTCGGGTTGCCTGTCTTTGTATCCTGACTTAGGACCTCTTTTCTGTAACTGCAAATCATAGTACTTCCTTCATGGCACGGGGAAGAGAAAAGGAGCATGTTATACATATACAGCTGCTCAACACCTGCTACATCGAGTAGAAGCTAAGCTGGGTCTAACAGACTTCTGCAGATGTATTTCCCATTAACCCCTTGGGCACAACTGGTCTGTAGTCAAAACAGATGATTAACTGTTCTTTAAACATACCCCACACTTTCTCAACTTGCTTTTGCCCATTGTCCTCACAGTCTGCAAAGACACCTGGCCTGGTCTGTCGCCTCCACTCATCCTTTGTTGTAACTGTTCTGGAAAGCTGTTGGTCCATGTGTATGAAAAGCCTAAAAATCATCCTTCCCTGGACTGAGCACAGCAGATCCTGGCAGGGTCCTCTCACATGTTTGGGGGCTGGCTAAGTGTAGACTGGGCTTGGATGGCCTCACTGGGGACAACTGGGGCCTCCTCCACGTGGGCTCTCATTCTCTGGCAGGCTAGCCTAGACCTAATTGGCTGGGTTCTGAAAAAGAGGAAGCCTAGAGGTCTGTTGAGCCCTGAGCCTGAAACCGGCTCATTGTTACTTCCACCACATTCTACTGGCCGATGCAAATTGCAAAGCCAGCAAATTACAAGGACTGGAGAAGTCGATTCTGCCTCTTGATGGGATGAGCTGCAAGGTCACAGTGCAGATGTCATAGAAAAGAGAAAATATCTGGAGACATTTTTGCAATTACTGTGCTAACAATGGACAGAACTCTTGTTTTGGACAGTAGGACATGAAAACATGTGGCAGTACAGTGTCGTTGTTAAGTGCACCACTCTGAAGACACTAAGTAGATCTGTCACTTACCAACTGGGTCATCTCAGCAGGTTATGTAAATGTGTTTAGTTTCCTCCCCTCTAAAACAGGGAGAAGCATTAGCTACCTCACGGGTTGTTGCAAGGATTGAATGAGCTAATAATAATACGTATACAATGCTTAGAGTGTTACCTGGCACAGCATGCTATGTGAGTTATTATTACTATATGGAGCAGGCAAAGGAGCCCTGTGTCAGAGGTCTGTTTTAGTCTCTGCTCAAGGAGCTGTGTGCCTTTGAGCAAGTTACCTCTCTGGACCTCAGTTTCCTCATTTGTAAAATCAGTAGATGAGACTCTTGAGGTCCTTTTTTCTATTATGGTGCAATATATACATAACATAGCATTTCCCATTTTCCTGTTTCTAAGTGTATGGTTCAGTGGCATTAAGTACATTCACATTGTTGTGCGGTCATCACCACCCTCCATCTCTAGAACGTTTTCATCTTCCTAAATTGAAACTCCATCCATTAAACAATAATTGCTCCTTCCCTCCAGGCCCTGGCAACCGCCATCCTATTTTCTGTCTGTGAATTTGACTACTCTAGATATCTCATATTAGTGAAATCATGATAAAACACTTGTCCTTTTGTGTCTGGTGTATTTCGCTTGGCGTAGTGACTTCAAAGTGCATCTGTGTTGTAGCATGTGTCAGAATTTCCTTTCTTTTTAAGGCTGAATAATAATCCATTGCATGTATATAACACACTTTGTTTATCCATTCTTCAGTTGATGGACATTTGGGTTGCTTCCCCCTTTTGGCTATTGTGAATCATGCTGCTGTGATTGGGTATGCTGCTAGGAACTGTTGGAGTCCCTGCTTTCAATTGTTTTGGGTGTAAACCACAAGTGGATCTGAAGTTCTTTTATGCTTTAAGTATTTTGTGACACTAGGAAAATAAAATAAAATTATGAAGTCTAGGTATGTGCCTCTCCCTCCCCAGTTTTTAGTGTTTCTCCTGAAACTATTCGACAGAGATGCCTCTCCTTGCTGTCCCCAGAGCACTAAATATACAGTGTTTTCCTGTCTATCGGAGGGGCCTCGCCCACTAGGTCTCTGAGCTCCTCCATGGCTTGTTCGTCTTTGTGTGCTCAGTACCAGCCTGATGGTGGCAGGCACTTGATAGACGTGAGTGAATGACTGAAGGAAAGTTTCTGATTGCCTGTGTGTGTTACAAAAACTCTTGAAGTGCTGTCAGTTTATTGGTACAACTCAGGACAGCTCCCACTGTCTTTAGTTTGATAATGTTTGGTGCACGAGGTCTTTTCCTCCCTAAGTATGCGTTTGTGTCTTCAGTGGCAGAGAAAGAATTCTGACCACTAGTGGTGGTGGAGCCTAAGGGGTTCAGTGGCCAGTTTTGAGTTTTGGACTTTAAAAAAGCTCTTGGTTC